CGTCAGGCCCCGCGGGCCAGGCGTCGGGTCAGAGTTAAAAGTAGAAGGTTGGGGGAGGGGGAGGGGGCAGAGCAACTTCAAATTCGTGTCTCAGGAAACCTTTCTCGGGGCTTCTGGAGTCGTCACTTCATCCTAATGCTGAGGTGGTCTCCTTCCAGGCAACAGGTTTGAGAACAGTGGTTTTCAAACAGAATAGTGTGATTTCAGCCTTTTGAGAATTACGCTTTAATATCCAAAATCATTTGGGGCGGCTACGTGAGATGGCTGGTGTTGCTCAGCGCAGATGTATGGGCTTCATAGAGATAGGTGCATCGAGTCCTTGGACATTAATTTTAATCGGATTTTCAGATGAAGCTGATGCTGATGCTCCCCCGGAACACACTTTGAGAAACATTTAATTAAGGATGGTTTGTGAAGTGAGTGCCCTCTTGAGGAAGATTCTTGTTAGCCTGTGAAAGGAGTAACACATGGAAGTAGAACTCGGAGAGTTGAAGTGGATATTTGTTGAGAGGCTAATTTTTTTTCTTGTACTTAATATGAGGAAGGACTGGAAAGAAAGTTTGTTTTTAGAGGGCATTGGAAATGGTTGGTGGACTTATGAGGAATACTGATAACTTTTCTTCTTTTCCGTATCTAGATTTTGAGAAGAGGGGGAAAAAGGAAGTTTGTCCGGTCCTGGATCAGTTTCTTTGTCACGTAGCCAAGACTGGAGAAACAATGTGAGTTGAAAACATGTATTCCTTGTTATAGACCTATGTGTCATTCAGAATTGTTTGGGAAAGGGGAAAAGGCTTCAGAATAATTGAATAATCTGTGTAAAGCTCCAGTCATTTAAAAGCAGTTATTTAATGCATATATTCGTTACTTTATGCATGATTTGTAATGAATATGAAAAACTTGGTTGGGTTTCAAAAAAAATTTTACACACACACACACCCATACACCCATGCTTTGGTACATTTAGAAAACGTTGTCGTCTAAAAGAGCCTGAGAAAGGAAGACTGCATATTTCTCTTATGACCCTTTTTTGGCCATAACAGGCCTATTTCTAGGATTTTGTGGCTTTGGTTCTATTTCAGATTATTTTGTTGGTGGTATTTTCTCATATTGTCTTATATCCAACCTTTTGTTGTCATATTTATATATGTGGGTGTCTAAGGGGTCACTTTTGTATATTCTTTTGAGAATTTAGGGGGATTATCTGACGAATTCCAGATGCTACAGTTTTGACTGTCCTGTAAACTTTCTAGGATAGCTAACCTGTTACATCCGCTCAGCATTTTATTAGGCTTGTTTCCAAATGTGGTAAATCTGAAACTTATACTATGAAGTTAGGACTGTTTTCAAAAGGAACATTTCATTGCATTGCTGTGGAGGTAAGTTTGGGTAGCAGGAATTGTTTTCACACACTGGTGAAGTTAGTTCCTAGAGAGCAGTGCAGTTTATATGACTTTCTTGTAGTCATGTCTTTGAGTAGGGAGGGGGGAGTTGGAAGGGGAAAGATTTCTTTGGGTGCAGTGTTAATAAGTTGAATTTCTCGGGGCTCCCCTACTTCTTGTCTATTTAAAAATATTTCTTTGAGGTCTGTAAGAATGTGAGCTTCAGCAAGTGATGTGTACTTTCTTTGGCTTTATTAACAAATGCTTGTTTTGCACAAGATTTGCTTATGGTTGTAGTGTAGCCTTAACTGGCCTAATTTTAGTAAAGAAAAAAAACCTCTTTGCTTTAGTGGTCCTTATTGCTTTATTAAAATTACTAGTCAACTTAATGTGATTGTGATGTTTTGTTCAGTTTTATATTTCTATTTGTGTTTAAAAAAGTGGAGCCATTTAGGGAAAAAAGTCTTCATAATCTCTTAGAACACTTGATTTTAAAAAATTGATTCAAAATAACCAATTCGTAGCCATATAGATAAGCTTAAAAATAAGTATGTGCCAACTTTCAAAAATAAATTGATCTCTAAATCATAAGTGCTTAGATTGCCACTGTTTCTTTCAAATTGCTGTTTGGTCCATACTTACCCTTTTCTGCATTACCAGGAGGAAAAGCATTTTTTAATTTAAAATTTTTGGTACACAAGATTATATGAAACTATTTGGAGATAAATACCTAAAAACCTCTTCCATTATCCCAGTAATCAGGTCTGTACATACTGTCTTCCCTTTTTGATAAAATAAATACATTGGCTGTAAATGTATAAGTAGTTGAAAGTTTCTAAAATAAAGCTTTTTAATATCCTGACTGGATTACCAAGGGGCTAGGGAAATTTAACCTGATGTTTCTGGATGATTATTTTGTCCTTATAGAGCACATAAAGTGTCTCTGCCACCCCTATTAGGTGTTTGTACATTTACTATAAGGGTATTTTGTATTAAAATGATTGGTGGTGGTAGGTGGCCTATTGAGTATGGAAAATATTTTAACATTTATTCAAGCAGCTGATGGTTACACATTTAGCCTTTCTTGTTTTAATCACCATGGGCATGCCTTAACTTTTTTTTTTTTTAATTTATCTTTACTGTTGAAAGTATTACAAATACTCTCTTTATTCCTCCATTGATCCCCTCGACCCTGAACCCCCTCCTCCAGGCCTTTGCCACACTGTTGTCTGTGTCCGTGGGTTATGCATATATGCATGTAACTTCTTAAGATAATCTCTC